TTTAAAAAAAAAAAAAAAAAAAAAAAAAAAAATTTCATTAACCGGAAATATTGAAATGGCTGTCGGAACGTCCATATGACTTGATAGCCAAATCAAATGTTTCAAACTATAATAAATACGGTATAGATCTGGCGCGGGTTTCCACATTACACAATTTAAAATTATTTATACAGGTTAGAATTCTTGATATATAGATTTTACTAACTAAATTAAGTAATATTAAATTGAAATTATAAACCAATAAAAAAATAATTTAACTAAATCATATCAAGATTCAGTTTATTAGCCATCGTCAGTAACAGTATTATGTCAAATCAAATAAAAAACATACTTAAAAAGTGACGATTTTTAATTCCAGCTTAGAATTAGCATTTCGGCCAAAAAATCAAAAATTTTACCCAAAAATATTACTTTTATGGTATTCAACCCATTTAATTATCTAAATTTAAAAGTAGAAAATCCAAAAATAATTCCTCATGTCCTAGCAAAAATTTGACCTAGAATTTCTCAATTCAATGTACTGTTACGTGGCGTTTGGCAAATTACCATTAAAAGGAGGACCACTTAAACTAACTTTATTGGCAGAAATGTACTCGAAATTTTAGATGATGAAGAATATTATGATATTACAATTGAAGTTGGCGATGACCCTAACGTAAGGATATTTCGTGCTTATAAGGTTATTTTAAAAATATTTACACGAAAAAATAGATTTATGAATAAAATACAGTATATGTACTAGACTCTTATACACATCTAGATGTGTATAAGAGACAGACAATAATCAATACAATGTGATTAGCCGGGATTGTATATTTATATGGAGAGATTATTTAATAATCTCTTCATATAAATATACTAGAGGTTGGAACCGGTTAAGCTTAACCCTGTCTCTTATACACATCTAGATGTGTATAAGAGACAGGTGCCGGCCAGAATTATAAATCACGGGACTTCGGATAAAAGTTTAGCCACCAGGTAAGATACCAACGGACCAGGTGGTGGAATTTTTTGTGTTATATAAAATTCATAATGCGGGCCGAAATTCGTTTCGATAGTTAGAGTTTAGGTCTGGCCTAATTTTGGCCGGGATTAAAAATATATTTGATGCTAATCCTGGCCGAATTTTAATTCTGACTAGGATTGAGTTTTAACCGGTTAATTAACCGGTTAAAGGTTTGGTTAACCGGTTATTAACCGGTTAAGATTTTTTGGACCAGTTCCAACCTCTAATATGTACTATAGCCAAACAAATAATACACGACTATCAAATTAGAGAAATCAATGATTTAGATTATTGGATTGACGTTTGAGTCTAAAAATTGATAATATTTTAGAAAAATTTCTCAATAGAGTAAAATATTTTGTATATTGTATGATAAATATTTTCATTCGATTATAAAAATATATAGTATTTTTACTACCTTAACGACCTTCACTAGTAATATTGTAAGGAACACGTCATTACGGTTGCCGAAAATCATATCTTATGACATTCACCTTAAGTTCTCTTTATCTTTTATTCAAGGATTGTTACCAAAATTATGGAATTTTAACACATACTAAATTACCAAATATTTTACCCATAATTCTTCAAATAATCTTAAGGTAACATTATTATTGTTATCATTTTTTAATAAATATGTTTATAATTTATTATTACTATTTTCTTTAGATACATCTGTAGAGGAAAACTTTCATTGGAAGAATATGATTATTAAATTTTATTTACTGCCAATGAACTTAGTCTTCAAGTATTAATTCCTTATTTAGAATACTTTGGAAATCAAATCAGTACATTATTTTTTAAGTTTGATATATCAAATCAAAATTCCGTTCCGTCCAGATTTAATCAAAAAGAACCAAATAAAATATTTAATTCTCCAAATTTTTCTAAATCTTTTGGTGATTATGATTATTATAAGCGAAATTGAAATTTGGGAACGTATGATTAAATGGGAACTTGTCCAAAATCCAAAACTTCCTTCTGATCTTGTAAACTTTTCAAAAGATGATTTTAATACTTTAAAGAATACTTTACAAAAATTTATTATTTTTAAAGAAAGTATTACCTTATAAAAAATTTTTGCCAAAGGATTTATATAAAAATTTATTAAATTATGATGATACTAAAAAATCGGAATTTCATACTGTTGAAGAGGTTGAATCAAACAATATTGATTCAAAAATTATTACAATTCAATATGCTGAATTAATATCAAAATGGATTGATAAATTAGAAATTATAGATAAGTTGACAACTTCATACGAGTTCAAATTATTATATCGTGATTCTCGTGATGGATGTATCATAGATTCAATAAATTTCGTGAAATTTGTAAAGATTAATTCCATACCGCCGTAACAATTTATATGATAGTAATGAAAATCTCGGAGGGTATAATCCAATTGAATGGAAATTTGATGGTAATTATTGCATAACTAATGATAGTTATGGTAGTATTAGAAATTATGTATTAAATCGTGTAAAAAATGAAAAGAAAGCTATTTATAATAGTCTTGATAGTATTTCATCATTTGGTCATGGCGAAATTGAAATTATCAACGGATCATTAATTTGTTGTAATAAAAGGTCTTATGAAAGATCGATCAGAATAGTCAATGAGTAATCAATTTTAAAAGATTACAAAGTATTTCAAATTGAAATTGCTTAGGATTTATAAAACAATGTTTTAAATTAAGAACAATAAAATTTTTGTTAGAGTAAATTATGAAAATATAAGTATTTACTGTATATTTTATTTTTATTTAATTATTAAATAGTAAAAATTCTGGTCACTAAATATATGAAGCTCTTTATTTTAAATTATTATATATGATATATCATTAATAAATAAACATGTATATTTTGCAAAAATAATTTAATCTCAAAAAAAATTTCAACCAACGATAATAATTGTATTTTATATATAAAAAAATTTTTGAGAACTTTTTTTCAAAAAAAAAAAAAAAAAAACCAGTTTAAATTAAAAGAATGCGATAATAAACTTAATGTCAATTAAGTATCCATTTAATCTAAATTCATTAGGTATTACACAATAATACTTTTGTAAATATAAAATGTATATTTTATTATAGAACGAATTTTAAAAAAAGTTAAAATTTCATCCGTTAGAATAATAAATAATTTAACTTCATACATTAATCTAATCTTTTTCTAGATTTTCAAAATTTTTAAATTGGATTAAATAAACTATTTAATCATCTTTTATGATCTTAAATACTACGTATTTTTCTAATAACTATTATTGTTACTAAAAGATTGTTCAGTAACTTCATATAATATTATAAAGTCTCCTAATTATTATCCTGTCAGTGAATTTAATTGGATAAAATTGTTTTATGCAGTATTGTCTTAGAAAACATTTTCGCGAAACTTTTTACAATATTTATTTCAAGCAAAAAAAAAAAAAAAATTTTTTTATTGGTATTGACATAAAATCAAAAAAGTACACGAAGTATTATCATTTTACCATCTTCACAAATATCAAATATCACAAAAATATTTATAAAACAGTTCTAATATTTATCTGCTAAACTTAACCAAATATAATAACAATATATTCCAGAGTTTGAAATAAATAAATAAATAAATGAGTTAGAAAAACAAATGATTTTTTTTTTTTTAAAAAAAAAAATGTACGTGCTTATAAAAAAATTTAAGTACTAGTACTATGTTAACCATTCGATCAGCATCTTCGTTGTACAATTATGATTTGTCCTAAACTCTGCATACTATACTTATCCAATTTCAGACGGTATCTCTAGATATGTAACCTTGGCGACGCTTGTTACACCTGGCGCATTTGTGGAATTGGCAAAACTTGATATGCCTGTACAATTTAATAGCGTAATTCATGAATTCATAAACTTTTTTTTCGTGTAAGGTTATATCCGCTGATTTATATTTATTATTTTATTTTTTCTAAATTAAAGTTTAAATAATTATAAAACCATTACATGTTACAACTAATCGACAGCACAAAGTTTATGATTAATATAAATATTAATATATTAATTTTTTAATATGAAATATTATATTATCAAAAATTTAAATATAATACCAGGTGTTAATTTAATAAAAAAAATTCGTCAACATGTAATACAATATTTTGATGATTCCTTATTTATCTAAATGGTTTCACAATGTTTCAATTAGGTAATGACAATAAAAATGTGCAGCTGAAAAAATTGTTAAATTTGATTGGTAACGATGGTAACGAATTGCTAGCCTCAGATGTGCATGATACATATTGTGCTCCGAGCTCTGTAAATAAATAACTTTACGTTCAATATTTGGTTTAATAATTTTCATTTATTATAAAGTAAATAACAGTACTACACATATAACTAAAATTACTGTAATTAACGCATTTATTTCGTAATTGATAAGTATGAAATTGTTGAAAAAGATATTCAAAAAAAAGCCAAGTAATACTGGTATGGAAATTTTGAATAAAACATCCAAGAGAAAGCCAAAAAATTTATGGAAAAGGGTTGATCGGGATATATATTAGGTAAATGCAAATTCACTTTAATAATTATTATAAATAATATGGTTTAAAATAAATAAAATATATTTTAATTATTTATTAGATTCATGTTACTATTTCTTCTATTAATTCCGCTACCAAATCAGAAGAGATTGATGATAGAGTAATCTATATGGACGATATGGAAAAAAGAAAAGAAGTATATGGTATATGTGATGAATGTAATGAACCTGGTACAGGAGAATTTTGGTGTCAACATTGTAATGCTAAAAGATTTAAGGAAAATTTTAAAAATTGGACTAGTGGAAATAAAGATATTGATGAATTAATACAACATTCACAACTTAATGCTGTACATCATATTAAATGTCTTGAATGGATACCTTATGAGAAATTTCAAAATGTCACTTATTTTACCAGAGGAGGCTTTGGTAAAATTTATTCAGCTGAATGGCCTGAGGGATATATTGGTTGTTGGGATATTGAAAATCAAAAATGGCACCGATACACAGACAGTAAGGTTGCATTAAAAAGTTTGGATAATTCTACTGAAATTAGCAAAGATTTTTTAAATGAGGTAACTAAATAAAAAAGTTAATTTTGTGTTATATTTAAATTGACATTATAATTTATTAAATTTTGATTTTTCTTAAAAATTTTAATTATTAGATCAAATCTTATCTTCAGATTTATTTTCGGGATATTGTTTTATGCCATGGAATAACTCAAGATCCAAATACCAAAGATTATATGATGGTTTTATATTATTGTGAAAATGGGGATTTAAGAAATTACTATTTAAATAAGTCCGATGATAATCTAAAACTTTTTGATTTATCAAGAATTGCGAATGGACTGTTAGGTATTCATAATGCTGAAAAAGTCCATAAAGATTTTCATTCAGGTAATATATTGGAAGGTGGGTCTATGTATATAAGTGATTTAGGAATGTGTTAACCAGCAAATAATAAAGAGAAATCAGATAAAAAAGAAGGAGTTTATGGAGTATTACCTTATATGGCACCAGAAGTTTTACGTAGATATCAATATACAAAAGCAGCTGATATTTATTCATTTGGAATAATTATGAATGAGTACCTTTCTGAAGAAATTCCTTTTAATGATATTCCTCATGATCATATTTTAGCTGTTAAAATATGTAAAGGACTTAGACCAAAAATTTCTGAACATATTCCAAAATTCCTTGTAGATTTAATTATGAAATGTTGGGATGCTAAAGCAGAAAATAGACCATCTGCTAAAGAATTGTATCAAATATTAAATAAATGGAATGAAACAGAATTTGATGATGATGAAATTCGTTCTCAAATAAGTGAATATGGAAAAATTAGAGAAATAAAATTTAAAAACAGATCAAATGAAAATAAGTCTGAAAGTATTAAAACTCATCCTCAAGCGATCTATACAAGTAGACTTTTAAATTTCGAAAATCTTCCAGAACCAGTAAATTCATCAGATCTATCATCATTTCAAGTTATTTCAGGTAAATCAATATTAATTATGAATTATGAAAAATTCTTATTCAAGTTTTTAACAATATCCCAATCTTTAATAGATGATGTCCCATCAGTATCAGCAAATTTAAGTAAGTATAATTACCAATACTTTTTGTACTATAAATTATATTTTATTTTAACATTATTTTGTCGTTTTAATTTAGTTTCAGAATGTTTTGATTGTAAAATTTAACGAATCAGGTAAAATAATATTGTTATTTATTAATAGTTTTCTCGTCTAACTCATCTAATTTTATTTAATATTTCTAATATAATAGATCTCAATGAAATTAATCAAGAAGAAGATAATTTAAATGATGAGTCTTAAATTATTAGCAGGTTTTTCGAGAATAGTCAGAATATTATTTAATAAATTTAAAGATAATATTTAAAAACTTTTATTTAACTTTGTTAAATTTTTATTTACTTTTTTATAACTCCAATAGAAATTTTTATGATAGAATTAAATAAAAAATATATTTATATATAAAATATCTTATTTTTATGTTAAAAAAGAGTCGCTCAACTACATAAAAGCGAAATGCTTGATTATTCTGATATCATGATAAAAAATCATGGTAGAAATCTTAGATTAGCTTGTCTATCAAACATTAAGAGAACTTAAAATTGGTTGCAAACAAACAAATAATTTTAAATTTTTCTTCATATTTAAAAGTTATTTATTTTTTATATTTATTTTAGCTTTTATTTTTTATCAGAAATAAAAATTTTTATTTTTATTTTAAGTTATTAAAGACTTTAATTGGTCCATCTAAAATTATTTTTGAGGTGGGTTAAAAAAATCGTACATTTGTAATCGTATCCGCAGTAATCGCCTCAGTATTCATTTATCATATTAATTTTATTTTTCTCAATAATATAAGTTTAATAGAAGTCTGAGACCGGGCGAGCCGGGAATTTTAATTTTTCAAGTGGGCCGCTGTAAAATAGGGATCAATACAGACTTCTATTTATAGCTGCAATGAAAATAAATTAATTCTTTTTGACGAATTGGGACATGAGGATTGTAAATTTGTAATGCCAGGATCATCTAAGGCATTATTAATTATAAACCGCAGCGATATATTTATTGTAGATATATAACCTACGAATTTTGAAGTGTTTTAAAGTGAAATATGTATAATAACCTTCTGGATCATGAGACTAAACTGATTCATACACGTTTAGTATAGTATAGTAGTTCTTTGTAGATATTTTATTATTTTATAACTTCGGGTAATAAACTCCCGATTCAAGAGTATAAACTTAGTCATATGTGACATTTAGTGTTACATAGTACTTTGTAATATTTATTTTAATGATTTTATAATTTTGAGAAATAATTAATTCAATTGGTCTCTTAATGAAGAGTATAATTTTGGGAATAATCAGAATAATCACTTGGTTATTTAATGAAGATCACAAATTGAGAAATAATCACGTGGAAAAACGAAGAACGTAAGTTAGGAATGAGGACATAACAACATATATAATAACATTGGAGTTTGACCTTCTTAAACATAACTTGGACATTAAAAAATTAGTATTTTGGACACATTCCTTTAATATACGATACTTTTATACTATTTTCTTATGATGAAAAAGTACCTTTCCTAATAATTTAAGTTTGCGAATCTTATTAATGATTTAACCTAGGTTACTCTTGTAGTTTCACCGGGGAAAACAAGGTATTTTATTGATTTTATTCGTGAATTTCATTTTATTTTTATATTTTTGGGAGGTGAATTCATGAATTTCATGAATTATTATTAGAGAAATATTTTATAAAAGTGGGTTTTTGGTGAATTTTCATAGGAAATAATTTAATTTTATGAATACGGAAGGATAAATTATCGTATTTTAGTTTGAAAATTAGGATTTTATGATTTTTATTTGATGAATTTGTATTTTTATTAGAGGGATTTTATTTTATTTTGTTATTTTATTATTTTTGATTTGATATTATTTTATATCTGCCCCCTGAAGAGCAGGAAATTAAGAAAATTAATATTTAGTTTTTGATAATAAAGGGATTTAATGTAAGGTCACCAGACCCCGGCCTTACAGGATAACGAATTATAGTTACGCACATTATTATTGTCTGATTTTAATATAATGTTAAATCTATGAAGCGAATGCTTAATTTATTAAAGATGCTTACTACACTTTTCCAATTTCAGACGATATTAAATTATTTAAAAAGTTATTGAATGGGTATATCGGTCACAGAACCGAATTATTGGATGAAGATGGGCCACATAGTGGTCATTTTCACCAATCAGTGAAGGTCCCTGTGACTTAATAACATCATTAAATATGTTTTATTTAACTTTCTATAAATTTCATTTTTATGTTATTTTTAGCGTTAATCCATTTTATAAGCTTTATTTAAACTTTTCCTATAAAATATTCATTTACACTATATTTTTACTCTACTTTATTATATCAATCATGTGTTATTGTTACGCCTAAAAAAATATCTGTCTATGAAAATCTGCATGTGAACGATAACTCTAGATATGGAATCTTGGCGACGCTTGTCACACCTGGCGTATTTTTATCAATTCTTGGCATTGGTAAAACCTGATATGCCTATATAACGATTGGCGTAATTACTGATAATCAAATAATTACATAAGTACGATTTAACTATTTAAGGAATCCTTTGGCTATTCTCAGCCAATTTTCAAAGTTTCACCAATAATATATTTTTTTTTTTATATCAACATAATAGGATATATTTAATTTCTTAGTTTTAGCTTGTAATAAAGATAAAATGGAGCTTTATATACCTCCAAAGGGACTTAAATTCAGGCTTCAAAATTATAAATCAAAATGGGCCATTTTTTCTAGGTTCTCTCAAGAACCAAAATTTTTTCATTTTACAAGCAGTGATGAATATAAAGACCAGTACTGGACTTTGATTCCAGGAACAGGGAAACATTCTGGTTATTTTAGAATTGAGAATTGCGTTACCCAACAGGCCATTTTTTCTAGGTTCTCTCAAGAACCAAAATTTTTTACTTACACAAGCAGCGAATTTGATGATCAGTACTGGACCTTTGTTCCAGGAACAGGAAAACGTTCTGGTTATTTCAGAATCGAGAATTACGTTACCAAATGGGCCATTTTTTCTAGGTTCTCTAAAGAACCACAATTATCTCATTACATTAGCAGTGATAAATTTGATGATCAGTACTGGAGTTTTATATTTGAAGATATGATCATTGAAAGCGTGGATTACAAAATTTATGTAGGAAAAATCCAAAGTACAAAAAATGTTGTGCTTATGAGACAATCCTTAACGAATGATACTGACGGAGAGCAAATGTTAAGCTTCAAAGTAGATGAGAGCGTAAAACATACGTCAACCTTTGAGTATTTAAGTGGATTTACCGTGAAGGTAGGAGCTAAATTTAAAGCTGAAATTCCATTTATAGAAGAAACTGGTCTTAATATTGAAGCTACAACTAGTAATCATACTTGGAGTTTCGGTAATTCTACAGAATCAGTAAAGAAATATACAGCAGAGTTATCTGTTAAAGTTCTTCCAAGAACAAAAATAATTGTTGAAGCAACTATAAAAAAGTCAATATTGAACGTGCCTTTTATTATGCATCTTAAGTCAAAGGAAACGGGTATTAAAGTGGATACTTATGGTACTTACTCAGGTGTAACAACTTGGGATTTTAATAATATCATTAGAGAACAAAAAATAAATCCAACCTGTTGATATCAAAAACCATTAAAATAAAAATATAAGAAAGTACTGTACGAGTTTAATAAATGAGGATGACCAGAGCACATCACGATTATCATAAAAACAAAAGAAATGAGGTAAGACTTCCTACTATTGTATATACAGCAGCAATCAACATTTTCCTATTAGGATGATATTGTCAGACACGTGAGAAATAAGCCAACCATGACTTGGTTACGTTCTCGTAGTTAGGCATTTTTCACATATTTCCGGGTGAAATACTCTTCAGGTATCTTATGATCGATTTCCAGAAGAAGCACCTTTGATGACGACAATCTTTGAATAGAACAAAAATAGATATATTCTTTATCTACAGTAGTTATATTTATTCCTTATTTAGGCAGATTCATCATAGTATTTGTTCGCTTTGTAATATTATTTCTATAGGTGGATTGACGTAATAATAGTAAAGAGTCCAATATGACTTTGAAATTTGACCAGAAAAATTCCGCATTTTATTAGTGTAAATAATCTGACAAGGTTAATTTCTTACAATAGTGGGGCTCTGTCTGATAATAATACAGGATGTACCTTCGTATTTGTTCTAACTAGAGTCATACCCTAGGGCCGGTGGCTGGCCCTAAAGAGTATATAAATTTTAACACTTATTTGCAGAAACAAAGTATTGGTAGGATATAATTTAATTTTTATTTAAAATAAATAAATAATTTAGTTTATTTTTTTTCATCTAAAATAATTTAATTTATTGTTTTTTACGTTTCGATTTAATGATCTTGTAATTGGCCTTAAAGAATTTTTTTTTGAAATTTATAAAAAACATCAATTTTTTTTAAAAAAATAAAAAATTTTTTCGTTTCTATCCAAAACAATAAATTTATTCAATAAAATTTATTTCACATGATTAAAAACTTATTAATATTGTAGGATATTTCAAATCAAATTTAGACGATCCTATGTCCACATTTTTTTTAATAAATCAATTCGTGTGGAAGCCATCCCTTTTTTGGTTCCATTGAAAATAATTATTTTTTATTTAGCAATTCCTGAATACAAATAAAATAGAAAAAAACAATCGGAACTTGGAACACTATACTTCAAGTTTTACCGAGATTTACGAGATTTATCCGCGAAATTTAGATTTTTAGTTCCATTAAAATAATAAGGTATTGAGATACGAAAGTGAATTATAAAGTAGGCAACTGCATGTGTTGCATAAAAGATTTCACAAATAATAAATTTATTTTTTTGGGGGGGCTTTTCCGGACCAACCAAATTACATTTTATTGTAAAAAAAAAAAATATTTTTCGAATGATAGACTGATTAGTATTCAATATTGGATTATCTTCTTCTTGTCTTACTATTAAGTTTAATTGAAAAAGCTTATGATAATTTATTTTTTTTAAGCAGAGAATTCTGATATTTTTTTATTATGCAATGTAGGACATCAACACATTAAATATAATAATACAACGAATAATAATAATTTGTTATTATCCCTCCTTCTTTAGAACGTATGATACTTCAGGTATTATATAAAACGTATAAAACATTTTTATAGTAGATGATATATTGTATATGTAACAAATGATATATTTCGCGTTAGAAATCATATTAGTCCTGGTCATGTTAGACGGAGAAAGAATATATAAAATTAATTTATACTGTTTAAAATAATATGTATAGTTTTTTTTTTATTGCAAAAATCAAAAACGGAATTATCATTTTTATTTGGGTAACTAACTAATTGTAAACTCATTTAAGTCATTTTAGTGATCATGAGAAAATTTTTATTAAAGATAAAATAAAATATTGCACATTAATAGGAAATTTTATGAAAAGACCAATCATATAAAGTTTAGACTTAATATATTTGCAATAATACATTTATTAAAATTAATACAAACTAAAATTTTTAATGACCGATTTAAATAGAAACAATAACTTTACTTATGAGTATTTCTATAACAAACCGATTATAAACATTTCGGAGTAAAGCTCAAAACTCCTCAAAATTGATTTGTTAAAAATATTTCATATTGCGATTAAATACGGTATATTAAAATTTCATTAGGTTGAGTTCAAGATCCTTATACACGTGAAAAATTCTGACTTAACGCATATCACAAATGTTGATCACGACATGTCAAATGCAATCTGACTATAAAAAAAATCATTAATATTTCAATTATTAATAAAAATTTTGGGTTCATTTCATTGTCCTTTTAACGCTTTAAAACAAGGAAATTTATGCGGTAAGATGTGGAACGAAAAGTTTTTTGATGAGTTCTAAATTTAAATACGAATGGCTGAACTATGTTTAATTATAAAATGCATGACCATTTTGATGAAAGGAATTCCCGTTCCAAGTTTGTGAATATATTCTACTAGTAAATCTCAACAATATAAAATGTACTCCTATTCTAAAAAAAAAAAAGTATTGAAATTTTCAAAAAATAATAACGCTTGCTTGACACTCCTTTATTAATCCTTTATTCCATTATAATTTAAAAATAATATCACTCATTTATTAAAACAAATTCTTCCTTTATTCCTTATTAATTGCTACAAAATACCCATTGTCTTCACGGTCTTCGCGGTCTTCGTTTCAGAATCAAACAAAGACTAAAACAATTTGTAAAGCAAGAAATAGCTTTACAATAATGCTCTCCTGCCTCCGACTTCAAAAGGACCTACCCTAATGATGTCCGCACTCGTTTTCGTAAGATGCTCTTCCGAGGAAGAAGCTCACGTATTGGGCCAGAAAACTCAAATTCGAAAAGATATTCAAGATATCTTCTAAACCCCAATACAGATACATAGGTATTTTGTAGTTATAAACTTCCTTTCCGACAATCCCTTTATTCTTTTTTTCCGATAAAAATTACTTTCACAATAATTGTAAGAAATATACTTGTAAAAAATAATTTTTCTTATAAATATTAAATGAAAATTTTTATTTAAGATTATAAAATACTTAAGTAAATCTAATTTTAAATTTACGTATTATATTAAAGATTCTAAAATAATTTAATACTCAAAGATTCATTCCAAAAGTTCGAATCCATTATAAGATTAGTGCGACCTGAATCTGTCAATCCAAATCATGTGACTTCAACATAGCTTCCACCAATATATAAAATTAGTATATTTTACCCATTTGTCCTTTAGACCTTCAAACCATTTAGCATAATTAAGAAATTCAGCTGACATTTTGATTTGGTGGAAAATATCTAATACACGTTATGTAATTTTAAGTATAGCTTTTTTGACTCTTTTTTGAGCAGATTGACTTTGAGCAGATTGAATTTTCGTCATAATTGGCTTGTTCGTTATATAATAATAAAGATACATTGTATCAAATTACTTAAAGTTACTTGATTAAAAATCTAATTTGAACCTTAGGTAATTTGTCTTTATAGTCTTTTTATAAGATGATTTTATAGGTGCGACCTGAAGACCTGAATCTGGTATATCATGTGACTTCAATATGAAACTTTCAAAAATCCACCAATATAAAAATTGGTACATTCTGTTCATCTATCTCTAGGATCTCTATCAAACCGGTCCTGTAACTCTACTCCAATCCCAACCATCCAATATCCAAATTGTTTTTTAATTGAGACTGACTAAACTTATCCCTGATCTTCTTAACCATATCATCAACTTGAATTTCTGTCCATCATTTAAGTATGTCATACAAAAAAATTTCTCAATCAGAATAGTATAATAATTCTTCGTCCACTCTCAATTCATTCAGATTTTTTTTTTCCATTGGTAGTAGACTAAATAGAGAGATAGATATTTTGGCCATTAATATTAGATAGAATCCCCACCTTTAGGTAGTAATGCCTGTTATTGCCGTCCAAATTGGAAGTTTTCTTGTACCATCATATTATCATATCAGTTATCATTAACCATCATAGAATTTGTTTTATTGCATTTTTATTTAGATAATATTAAGCTGGTGTTTATTTTTCAATTATATATTTAATTACTTACAAACATAGAACAATTACAATCATAGAACAACATGGAGAATTGTTAAGCTTTTCAATGCATATCTAATTTCAACTTGTATGTAAAATATTAATAAGTTTAAAGAATAAAAGAGTGCAGCTTCTGAAAAACCTTCATAGTTCATAAATACTATAATTCTTCCTTGCAATACATTATTTTGAACAAGAATATTCAATAATTGTTTGTTGAGAATTTTGACCATAACTTTACGAGCCGTTTCAAGCAATGTAACCGGTTTTGTGTTATTTAAGCTGCATCCCCATGGTTTTGGCTTTGGGATTAGGTAAATGTTTGTTGAGGGTATTTCATGAAGTAAATTTAAATACTCAATAGCATAATTCTTTATCCGTTTTTTTTCTTTTAAATATGTTTATTTGTTACCATTATTCATTTATGGTAGCACTTACTATGAAAAGCTTTGTAATGATCACAACCATGTGGGCTTTCTATAAACTTGCCCATTGCCATACATATTGATATCAGAGTCTGGGTTTGTCATAATTTTGGCATCCACAATCTTTCTTGAAACATTTGCCCAACCCAAATAATATTGTATGAAATGTACACATGAAGGAAACTTTAAATTTATACTAATAAAATCACTGCTTCTAAATCAATAGAGGTACACTAATCAAGAATTATATTCATTGCCCTTGTATTATTAAAAAAATGTATGATTTATAAATCTCTCTCTTTGCTAATAGTCAATATAATGAAATGTTATACCAAGAAAGCTGATATTTGGTGATGTCCATCCATCTAAAGTAAAACTTCTGCTATTCTGTGTGCTAATGTTATTACGTATTCTAATCATTTTGCAAGGCAGTTGTGAGAAATTCCAGCTAATTTATGACAAAATTGTTATCTAAGAAGTCAATTTTTTTGTAAGAGTATAGTTGGAAGAACTCTAACACAATTGGACTGTTCTTTATTATTTAAATATAATTTTTAATATTAAATTTACTGTAATTCTGTAAATATGATTCACCTCGCCATTGAAATTGATTTCTTTGTACTCTCAATTAATGATAAGAAAATCATCATCGTCTGTGAATAGCTCCAGATTGGTTTTATCAGAAATTTTTTTTAAATGGTTGAGACTGATTAATTTTGGTATAATTACTTTTTTTCATTTGAAGTTTTGCATTGTAAAATTATTTTGATTGCAAGTTTTATTTCTGGAAATATAGTTGTATCTATCTTATAGTTTTCATAAATATCTGTCACATATAAAAATACCCACAAAACTATATTTATGACGGTACTCTACTACTAAATAAATATTTGAAATATAATAATTTGGATTCAGCTGGTATTCCATTAAAATTTC